GGGGGAGGAAGAGGGAGAGAGATCTTTATTTCACCCGAGAGAGAGAGAGAGAGATCCTATTTGACCCTAGATAAAAATGTGTTTCCCTATTTGCCCCTGAAAAAATTCTTCCCTATTTGACACCAAGTCTAAACTGCATGTCTTCATTGACACTGGCATCAATTTTTGCTTCTAACAGTGGTATATGAGACGTCAAAAGATGGTTTTCCCTGGGGTGCAATAAGTGACCAAAATTGTTTACATCACCAAAGCAACAAAAACGTGATATATTTTTCATGGTTACATGACCAGATGAGAAGCAAACTTGTTGTGGTATCACATCCACAGAACAAATTTTAATTCAAAAAACACACACAAACTTCATCACATCATCAGATTTGTTAAAAAAGATTGGGCATGACCTCCCATGTATTTCGATGCCATATCTACTGCACACGTTTCACCAGAGTACTTCCTGTAATTTCTAGAAATATTCACCAAAGTACTTGCGGAAATTTCAGAGATTCAGATAGACAGGCTTACAGAAATCAGCACACAGGAATGAACCTATTTATAAGGCAGAAAGATTCTCAGTTGAGATTGCCCTGCCATTTCCTCAAGACAGATTGCTTTCACATTTTCTCGCGGAATCCTGGAACAGTACTCTTTCTGCATATAAAACTTCGTTAAACTCTTTACCCATGGAGTTGTCTAACCAGAACCAAGAAACATGTGTGCAATCTTTATGTGCCATGCCACCAAATAAATGGACAAGGATAGAAAATAACAACCAGCGGAATCAATCTTCAAACCGCCATAATCAGGAAACAATTAAAAACAGAGTATACCGTTTAATGCCGCCTAAATGTGGACAGGAAAAATGCAATTTGAACTTTACTTGCTTCCCTTTTATGAGAATAAACGAAGTAAAAGTAAATGCAACTACACAAGATATCAAATTTCAAATGTGTGAAAGAAATGAATTTCGTAAACCAACCATATGTTCTTGATTAAATAAAGTCAGTCTCAGTTTGAGTGATCTTAATGACCTGCTGAGAAGTTGTAATCAATTGCATGTAAAAAAATAAACTTTATTCCAAAACTTAAGACCCTGTTTTTCAATTAAAGCATATGCTCAGTTGTAGTCTACAGATGGTATCAGCTTACAATGACATTGAGCAGGAGAGAACCAACAGGTACCAACTAGTAACAATCAAGCACCTCGTACATTCGCAAGTCTCGATTTTAATCTTCTGCTCATCACAATACTAGTAGCACACAAAATTCAGAGAATAAACTTCTGCTCATCGCAATGCTAGTACGAGTGAAATTGGCTTCATCATAAGATCTAGTATAAGCCAATCTTGTGCACACAGGGTTGATAATTGTACTTCATTGGCGATATTGAAGGAGGGCCATCAGTAACAATACATGCATGTTCACTTAATGTTCCATCAAATATACTTCATCTTCTTCACAACTTTCTGCTGCAGCGCATCGATGGAATGGAAGAAAGTGAACCTCTAACGCTTCCAGAAAAATAATGTTCCAAACCATAGCCAGAAACCAAAAATAGTTGTACCACTTAAACCATTGGTACGTGCAATGCTCAGAGGGCGGCCACAGAGCCCCTGGCTGTGGCCATAACTCGATGGGTCATTGAGCATTTGAAGCTGATTGCCATCAGGTTTCTCTGCTGAAAGAAGGTTGTTGGAGAGACTAAGTGAGCTCATTCCAAGAGACTCCATATTTTTCATGTTGCCAATGATGTTTGGGATACCACTGATTTATTCCGCCCACTAACCAAGAGATCCCATACAGTCTGCTAGCTGTTATGCCCACTAATTTCATATCTTTGTTTTGAGTTGGTTAATCATATCATGCCCACTAATTTCTCAACCAATCGAGTGCAGTGCAAGTGCAGTGCACCATCACTAGCAAGCTTTGCCTCACAGCCGCGTGCTCAAGCTCAACACGAAAACTTCAAGTGACTCAAATCACTGGAACACCGCAGGCAGGCAGGCACATAGCTACCATCGGCACAACACGTCTCCGGCTGATTGCTATAAATTCTGCTTCCCATCCATCTCTGTTCCAGTAGGGCTCTAATGCTGACAGCAGGGAGTACTGACACATAATTGACGACCAACAATGTTGATTTGCACCGCTGATGGTAACATCTCTGGGCTGCTTTCTTTGTAAACTTAAACGTTTAATAATCAACAGCCAGAATCATCTCTGAATTTTATTCAACTTTCATTGTGGCACAGCTCTGTCACTGTCTGCATAAGATTTAAACAAACTGAATTGAGCTATATACCTAGTTCTGTGCCACTGTTTATGGAATTGTGAGATTTGTCATTTGTGCATTAGACCCCGCTTGCTTGTTCAGGGGATATTTAGGGTCGAGGTAGTGTGACTGGAGTGCAGCAAGTCTGAAACTGCAGACTCAGCTTCATGTTGCTGTTATTGCTTGAAGCCTTGAATAGCTAAACTTGGGCACCATGTACATCTCCTCCCTGTACATCTGCTGTAGAAACTGCAAGCAGGGGTATTGCCTTGAGCCCTTGACAGCTTTAGAGATGCATGAATGGTACACGGCAGGCAGGCAATCAGGCAGAGTTGAAACGAACTCCTCTGGTAGCCACATAGCTATCGGCACAGCACGACTCCGACTGACTCCTATAAATTCTGCTTCTCTGAACTTGCCGCATCTTGCTTCCTCTCTTTCTCCGTTCCAGCAGGACTCCAACACTGACGGCAGGGAGTGCAAACTTCATAACTGACCCCAGAGGTCCTCCTGACGATACGAAGCCTGCAAACACAACAAGGCAAGAACCATTTGTTCATTCTGGGTTAACAACTGCTGCAATCTACCACTAAGAAATGGACTGCACTCAGGGCAATGATAAAAGAAGGAGTTGTCTCCACTCGACAATACCAACAGTAGTATTTGTTGAGCCACACTACTGAAGGATCATATATTGAACAGATAAAACCCCACAAAAACAGGAATGATATATTACCAATGCATGTCCTGTCCCCCTTTGTCCATGAATACCAGCACCTTCGAGAAGCTAAAAATAACAGTGCTCCCCTCCCCTCCATACATTCAGGTACATTTTATGATTAATTTGTAGCAAAAAGGGGATGATTCAAAACAGAGTCCCGTTACATTGTGTGATTGGTTGACTCATTGGACTAAGAGCACAACTGAAACACCAAACACCACCTCCCTCCCTCCATCTCATGCATCTGATTACCGTAAACTTTGTCAGATGTTCAGTGGCTCATACAAACACACCTTGACGGATGGCACAGAGATGAAACGCTAGCTGCAACGGAAAAGCAGAACTGAAGAAGGCCAAAAAAAAGGAGGGAGCACAACCAAAGAGTGAAGATTTACCCTGTCCGCCAGTGGCAACCGCTGCTTTCACGTACATCACCCTCTCCATGCACATCCTGGAGGAGTCGCCACTGGTCTTTCCACCCTGCTTCTATCTCCAGGAAAGCGAGACACTCTGAAACAGAAAAAAATGAAATGCGGCGCAGACACACTTGAAAAAATCAGTTAAAAAACAACACAACTCTTCCAGGCATGGAAACACAAACGTGGCCCCGCCGAAAATGACCAGGAACCCGCCCAACCGACCCGAGGAGATCCGGTTCCTTTAAACCGCAGCTCCTCGTGCTGGGTTAGGTGACCGGGCGGCCAGGATAACTGACTGATGGCGAATTCGAAATCAGCTGACTATAAAATAATAAAAGTGCATTCGGGATTTCATTAAAGCAAGTGGTAATTACACAAATATATTAGCTGGAGCTTGTAGGTGCTACCAGCTTACAATATGACACCAATCAGGAGAGAAAATCCAAGCAACTAAACAGGACACACGAATCCTAGTAACCCTCTAACATCTTATACATCACAAGTTTGGACTGGAATCTTGAGCTGCTGCACAACCTCCTAAATCCTGGTATGCTCCAGAGTGCGCAAGAAAGCATTCCATTGCTGCATTAAGTAGATCATTTTGTAGAGATCACAACGGTGAGATAACCTTAGACAGGCAAACAAGGGAAGCCGGCTGCGACGCGATCTCTGGAAAGGCTACCTAACACAACCGTATCAAGTGTCAACATGAGGACATGTCAAAGGGATCAGCCTCGGAAAAACCATGGTATTTGAAGCTCTTCTTTGTATCCCATTTTAGTTCAATCTGTGCATCTCGAGAAGCTCTATTCCCCACTTGTAACCGTTTACGTTGAAAGCGCATCCATTTGCTGTTGCAGCGGTTGACAACTCCAATTTCCATTTCCTTGAGCACTTTTGCATTCAAAACAAAGAACTGGGCAAAGTGAATAACTTGTGTCCGGTTACCATCGTAATTCTTCAATACCACTTTTTTTAGATGGAGTTCTAGGCATTCAATTGGATCCAGTGGGTCATACTTGCGCACATTATTCATATCCTCCTGTGGGTGGGACTGCAGACAGAAGAACGAAATAATATAAAGGCAGTCACTAAAGAACTGAATTAGTAACACATACACAACAGTTCAGCGGGTCGTGATTAAGTCTAACCCAATGTTGATTTTCATATTTAAAGACAGAAGAAGTTTGCATACTCACAATGACGTATAGTCTCTCTAAGAAAGTGAAGCACTTGAGTAGGCCAACAATTGCATCTAGATTGGGGCCGATAGAGTCAACAACCAAAATCTTCACTTTATGCATTATGGTTGTCAAGCTGACATCGATCGTTTTCTGGAGGAAAATAAAACAAGTG